CATGCTAGTGGAACATAACTAGGTGGATATTAACATATGCAAATCCTGCAAAGACAATTCTAATGGGTCGTTGAAAATCCAGATTGCTATTTGTCTCTGAGAAAGTGTTTATTTGGTTCCAAATTCTGAAAACTTAAAAAATGTAATAACATCCTACCATATCGTAGGGCTGATTAAATAAGGAGCTCAAAACTGTACACAGCATTCCAGATGTGGTCTCACTGGAGCTCTATGTGGTTGAAGCATAGCATCCCTAATTGATTGATTTTTATTGTCACGTGTACTGAAATACAGTGAAAAGCTTTGTTTACAAGTGGCACAGGCAGATCACAGCAAGCAAAGGATGTACAGATCAAAAAGCCTTAGAGGTATACAGGTTACTTCACAGGTTACATTATGTGAGGCTAGAGTCCATTCAACCGTCTGATAACGGCCGGGAAGAAGCTGTTCCTGAACCTGTTGGTGCGTGTGTTCAGGCTTCTGTATCTTCTGCCTGATGGAAGAGGCTGTAGGAGATCATTACCGGGGTGCAGTGGGTCTTTGATGATGTTGGCCGCCTTTCCAGGGCAGCAAGCCGTATAAATGGAGTCCATGGATGGAAGGTTGGCTACCGTGATGGTCTGGGCTGTGCACACCACCTTCTGTAGTTTCTGCTTTCCATGGTGCATCTGTAGATGTTGGTACAGGACCTTATGGACATGCCAAATTTCCTGAGTCGCCTGAGGAAGAAGTGTGGTTGTTGTGCTTTCTTGACCATCGCATTTACACGGGAAGTCCAGCACAGATCGTTTGTTATCTGAGGACCTTGATGCTCTTTGCCCTCTCAACCTCAGTTCCATTGATGTAGATGGGGGCGTGTTCTCTTCCTTTCTTTCTGAAGTCGATGATCAGTTTAGTTTTGCCGATGTTGAGAGTCAGATCATTTTCATTGCACCATGTCACAAAGCCCTCTATCTCCCTTCTGTATCTTGACTCGTCGTTGTTAGATATCCGTCCCACTACGGTGGTGTCGTCAGCGAACTTGTAGATGGTGTTCATTCAGATTTTGGCAACACAGTAGTAGGTGTACAGGGAGTACAGTAGAAGGCTGAGGTTGCATCCCAGTGTTGAGTGTTATTGTGGAGGAGGTGCAGTTACCTTGCGGCCTATGGGTCAGAAAGCTGAGGATCCAGTTGCAGAGGGCAGAGCCGAGACCATGGTCACGTAGTTTTGTGATCAGTCTGGAAAGGGATAATGGAGTTGAAGGCGGAGCTGGAGTCTGACATAGGTGTCTTTGTTGTCGAGATGTTCCAGGGATGAGTGCAGGGCTAGGGATATGGCATCCTCTGTGGATCTGTTATGTTGGTAGGCAAACTATAGGGGAGCGAGGCAAGCTGGGAGACTGGAGTTGATGTGGGCCATGACCAGCATCTTGAAGCACTTCATGATTATTGAAGTCAGAGCTATTGGGCGGTAGTCATTAAGGCACATTGTGTTTTCTTTGGTACGGGGATGATGGTGGTCTTCTTGAAGCAGGTGGGTACTTCGGTTTGTAGGAGGGGAGAGGTAGAAGATGTCGGTGAATATCTCCGCCAGCTGGTCCACACAGCATCTGAGAACTCGACTGGGAGCACTGTCCGGGCCTGTCACTTTCCTTGGGTTGACTCCCAGGAAGACTGATCTGGTGTCTGAAGCGGTGACGGGGGAACAGGTGTGTCTGGTGCTGTCAAGGCTGGTGTCACTATGCTGATGGTATTCTGATCAAACTGAGCATAGAAAGCTTTGAGCATGTCTGAAAGGGATGTATCATTGTTCGCTATCTTGTACTCAATTTCCCTTGCGATATTCAACAACATTCTTTTAGCTTTTCTAATTGTTTTCTGTACATACCTGACCTTCTGTAACTTGTGCATTAGGTCACCCAGGCACCTCTGCATTTCAAGGCTCTGCAATTTTTTTCCCATTTAGATAATAGGGTCCTTTTTTATTCATCCTGCCCAAATGAAAAATATTAATATTTGCCTACATTATATTCCATTTACCAGATCTTTGCATATTCACTTAATGCTACAAAAGGATGCAGATAGGTTATTATGTCCTCTTCACAACTTACTTTTCTTCCTATCATGGTGTCATCACCAAATTTAGCTCGGTACCTTCTGTCCTTTCATCTGAGCCATTTATTTCACTTGTAAAATGTTGAAGCCCCAGCACAGATCCATGTGGAGTGCCCAAGAAGTGAACCCATTTGTGCCCTCTGCTTCCTGTTAACCAGCCAATCTTCTATCCAGGCAATCTGACTACACTCTATACCATAAGTTTTTATTTTCTTCAATAACTTCTAATGTTCTACCTTACCAGATGCCTTTTGGAGATGTTAGTCAAAACATCCACCAGTTTGCCTTATCCACAGTACATGTTACCTGTTCAAAGAACTCAAATAAGTTAGTTAAATATAATTTCCTTTCTCAAAACCATGTTGACTCTGCCTGACTACTTTGAATTTATTTGAATGCCCTGTAATAATGTCTTTAATAATAGCTGCTAGCATTTTCCCCATGACAGATACTGGCCTGTTGCACCCTGCTTTCTGCTTCCCTCCTTCTTTGAGTGTCTTTTTTAAGTTATCTTCTTTAAGCAGTTGTTTTCCAAATTAGAGCCCCCCCCCCCACCACACTTGCCATCCTAACTCAGAAATAAGTTGCCATTCCTACAGTGTCACTGGATCAAAATCCAGGAGTACTGTCCCTATGGGTCTACCCATAATGCAGATTTGCAACAATTGCTGCTGTAACCAGAGAACCTACATCTCTCAAATGAATAAAAAAAATTGAAACCAACACACAAACTTTTTTTTTGTTCATTTGTGGGATGTGGGCGTCACTGGCTAGGCCAACATTTATTACCCTCCCTAATTGCCTGGTGGGGGGGGGGAAACGGGGACAGTTAAGAGTCAAACACATAGTTGTAATGTAAGACATTTTACCTCCCTAAAGGGCATGAATGAACCAGATGGGCTTTTTCGACAATCAATTCATGGTCATCATTCCACTTCTAATTCCAGATTTTTTGTTAAATTCAAATTCCACATCCACCAGGTGAGATTCGAACCCAGGTCCCCAGAACATTACCTGGGTCTGTGGATTGACAGTCCAGCCTCCTGCCTCCCTTGTGCCCTCTATTGTCTCATTAGCCACTTCTTTTGAGACCTAAGGACAGTGTCAATTCTTATTTCCAACAATTTTCTCAGTACCGTTTCCCCAATGACTGTAATTTTTTTGATTACCTCTCTCCCTTGCATTTCCTGATTTAAAAACATTTCTAGGATGTTTTACAGTGAAGATCATGCAAAATACCTGTTCGATTGAACAGTCATCTCCTTTTTTCCGATAGTTAATTCTCCAGACGTACTTCGTTAAGTTTTTTTATAAGTATCTGTAGAAACCCTTATTGTTTTAATATTTCTTGCTACCTTTCTCTCAAACTCTGATTTTGAACCTCCTCATTATTTTGATTGTTCTTTCCTTTTTAAAGAAAATATTCTGTCCAGTCTTCTGACCCACCTGATTTGTGCACTTATATGCTTTTTCTTTAACTTTTCAGTTACACAGATGATAAGTTTCTTGGAATTTTTTGATTGGAATGTATCCTGTAAATTCTGAAATATTCCCTTAAATGTCTGCTACTGCTTCTCTACTGACCTCCTCTTTAATTTGCTAGTTCACTTCAGCTAGTTCCTTGTGCCCTCTATTGTACTATTTTAAGTTTAGAATACAAGCCCTGGTCCCTCTCTTCTATCCCTTAAACTGAATGTAAAAGTTCGTCCTACTTTGGTGATTGCTACCTAGAAGTGCCTTCACTACGGATTCAGAAGAACAATCCAGTATTGGTTTTACAGGTTTGTTCTTTTAGCACTCTATGCTGTGGTTTCAAGCTGCCATTTTTAAACACAATCACCATATTCTGTTTCTGAAAATAGGTTTACTTGTGAATAAACCTATTTAATACTTCACTGTCGCACACAGAGTATCTGCATCTTGGGTCTTCCAACAGGAAGTGATGTATGCTGGAGTCCAATGTGCCATTTACTAGCAATACAGAGGTTCAGTTTATTCTCAGGACATGCTATCCCCAAGTGACTTAGTGAATAATAGATTTTGGTTTGTAGGGAATGAAGTTTTGCCTGTAGCAAAATGTAACTAGGCTTCGCCTGTAACTGTAATCTTCCTGTAATTCGGTGGCTGTTTGTAAAGTTTTCAGGATAGTGTTTTATTTAGCTGTGGGAAATTGAATTTCTTGAGTGAATTAAATTAACTACCTGTTGCCTGTATCTGTAGTTGTTGCCAGTGCAGTATTCCATGTTGTGAAAAATACATTTGGATTCCAATGCCTTTACATTTGTTAAATGTAAAAATGCAATGTTTTACACTCTTGTCAAAATATGCTCTCAATTTCTGTACAATTATTTGTGATGAAAAACAAGCATTATGGTTTCAGAATTAGCGCTGTGTGTAGTCAGCACTTTGGAGGAGTGTCAGTGAACCTCCTGACCAGGGGAAAACATATAGAAATGACTTCACGTCTGTGCCCCTTGGCTTAAGGTCAAGCCTAAGATTTTGGTTTTGTGGTCACGGATCATGCTCATGTCAAGTGGCTGACAAGCAGTATGATAATAGGTGGCTAAAATTAGAGAAAGGAGGAAGTTAATGCTATTGTGGAAATACTTTTCAGTTTCCTTTTAGTGACTTAAACTTTTGAAATTTGCTACTCCGTCCTTATACTGTTCCTTTCTCTTGAATTTGGTCGCACGTAGCAACTACTGGTGTGTGCATGTGAACCACCTTGTGACCATTCTTGTGGCTTCTGATGCCTTCCCCAGCCCAGTCTCAGCTGTGCCCCTCCCCCTTCCCCCAGTAGTCTAAGTCCTGTTTGACACATTTTTCATCAGACTTTTGGCATTTGACCAACAATGTGGTTTTTACCCCCTGCTTAATGTTCTGGTTTCCTCCCCAAAACACTAGGTAATAGCGGCTGACTGCAAGAGGGTCACAGTGCTAAAGTACTTCCTGGAAGCTCTGTGCGGCCAAGAAGAACCTCTGTTGGCATTCAAGGGTGGAAAGTATGTGTCAATGGCACCCATCCCAGACAGCCTGGGAAAGGAAGATGGAAGCCAGCAGGGAAAACAACTGGAGGATCAGGTACAGTACACCAGAGGGTTTTTTTTTTATTCCATTTCCTGAAATTCCACTGCTGCTATGAGATCCACATGCTGTTTTCTATTTCACTTTTTAATGGATGATTTAATGGAGCTAACCTCAGAAAGGTCAAGGTTCAGGAGTAGGATAAAGTTTATAGCTGTGGCACTGATTTCACAGGGGGCCCCGCTTGGAGCACTGATACAGGAAGAGACAAACTCATTGGTTTGTGTGGAAAATTGAGCAGCAGCCCACATCCTGATATGATTAGGGATTTTGCTGGTTCCTGCTTTTTCATATACTCCCTTAAAGCTGCACTATCCCCAGTCCTTTATTCACTAAATTCTCTTCTCCCTCGGAATCGATTCATCACGTGGATGCATGTGTTTGTGCATCCCTCACGTAGATTAGACAATGCGGAGCTGAATCAGCTGCTTCCTGCTTTGGCTCTGTTTATTAATGGATTGAATAGTCTATATAAACAAATTCCTGACAGCCTTTGTGTGTTTCTGTTTTGACATCTCTGGTTGATGGACTGCCATGTTGGCTATCAGTGCTAATGACAGCCGTCAGCACTGCAGTATCTACAAATGAAACCAGGAAGGCACCACCTTTTTCCCTTACCACCTTGCTCACATAAGTTAGGGTTCTTGCACAGAGATTAAAAAAAAATATATACTGTTTGGAGCTGGTAATTTAAGGAAATGTTGGTACGCGAGTAGCCTGTTCTATCAGGTGATTTGATCCTGGCACGTATGTACCATGGCTCCATTTACTAGCCTTTTTTCCATTATCACATGGTTTCCTTACCAAAAGAAAATCTTTAGATCTCAATCTTGAAATCTCCTGGCCCTCCATGTTTGATATCTAGCAAACCAACAGCTCCACTTCATCATCACTTCTCTCAATCTCTCCCCATTGTCTATAATTATCAGCCTGCTTGTCTGACATCCAGCATCGATTGAGCAACTATTTTCTCCCACTAAATGTTTGCAATACCGAAATGTTGACTTTGGTCGCAACCACAAAGTCCATTCCCTAGCTACTGTTTCCACCCCTGTCCCTGTCAACTGTCTCAATCTTTATAGCTTTAGTATTGAATTTGCTTCTTGATGAACTTCCAACACACATCCATGCCTAATTCCACCTCTGTAACATCACCTGACTCTGCTCTGCCTCTGGTCATCTCTTGCTGAATCCCTCATTTGTGCCTTTTACCTCAGGATTTATGATTCCAACACATCCCTGCTGGCCTCCTACATATTCTGCCTTCTAAATTTGAAGTGATTCAAAACTCTTCTGCCTGTGCCCTAATGGCCACCCTGTGCTCATGGACCCAGTTAACTGTCTTGGTTTTGAAATTCATGTTCTGTTTACAAATCTCTCTTTGGCCTTTTCTTATTTCTGTAATCTCCTCCAGCCCCACAGACTTCTAATATCTGTACTGTTCCAATTACATCTTCACAATTTCAATTGGTCCACTGTTGATGGCGGTGCTTTCCCTTCCTAAACCTCTCCATCTCTCTTTCCTCCTTTATAAGATCATAAGAACCGGAAGCAGGAGTAGGAAATACAGTCCCTTGAGCCTGCTATGCCAATTAATATGATTTTGGCTGATCTCATCCCGGCCCCGTTCTACTTTCCTGCCGACTCTTCGTAACCATTCAACCCATCATTAATTAAACTTCTGTCTAGCTCCTCCTTAAATTTACTCAATGGCCCAGCATCCACTGCACTCTGGATTGTGATTTCCACAGAGTCATGATCCTTTGGGAGAAGTAATGCCTCCTCATCTGTGTTTTAAATCTGATAAACCTATGATCTCTCTTTCTAGATTGCCACACATGAGGAAACATTCTATGTCTACTTTGTCAATCCCCTTAGCACTCTATGTATTTCAATTAAATCTCCTCTCATTCTTCTAAACTCTAGAGAGTATAAGCCTAAACTGCTCAATCTCTCTTCATAAGACAAACCCTTCAGATCTGGGATCAATCTTATGACCCTCCTCTGAACTGCCTCCAATGCAACCACATCTCTCCTCAAAGTCAGGGGACCAAATCTATACGCAGTACTCCAGGTGCTGTCTCGTTAATGCCTGTACAGTTGAAGCAAGCACTTCCCTACTTTGATACTCTATTTCTTTAGAAATAAATGCCAAAATTCGATTTTCCTGCTGTACCTGCATACTAGTTTTCAGTGATTCATGCATGAGGACGCTCAGATCACACTGCACCAAAGCACTCTGAAGTTTCTTTTCATTTAGATACTATGTTGCCTTTCTATTCCTCCGACTAAAATCGGTAACCTCATACTTATCCACATTAAGCTTCATCTGCCAAATTTTAGCCTATTTCCCTAACCTATCCATATCCATTTGTAAATTCATTATTCTTTCATCGCAGATGATTTTCCACCTGGTTTAGTGTCATCTGCAAATTTAGCTAACGTACTTTATGTTCCCAAATCCAAGTCATTTATATTTATTGTAAGTATTTGGGCCCAAAGACCAAACCCTGTGACACCCGCTAGTTACAGCTGCTAACGAGAAAAAAACCCATTTATCTTCACTCTCTGCTTTTTGTTGGTTAGCCAATCCTCTATCCAAGTAATATATTACCCCTAAGCCTGTGTGATCCTATGAAACTGCTGAAAAGTTATTTATTTGCCAAGTTTTCTATCATTTTCTCTAATATATCTTTATGGAGCTGTGTCAGGTCCACATGATAATGCTCCTGCAAAGATTTTGGGATGTTTTGGTGCAATAAAGATGCACTATAAACACAAATTGTATCTGTCTACATCATGACTTAATCTCTGTGCAATATTCTGTATATTATTGTGTGTTCAACCATATGAAGCCATGCTTTGTGTGTGGGTATGTGTGTCATTCAAGTCCTGTAGGAGCTGGCCATTGAGATACCTTATGATTGAGTGGTCTGCCACTCTTACTGTTGAGGCTGATGTGAGGAATGGCCGTGTAGGTAATGCATCAGACACGAATAGATATCATTCAAACTTCCCCAGTTACTGCCTTAAAGATAAAATGGGGGAATGGGGTAGGGGGTTGTTGGGATGGGAAGGGTACTTGTTCCAAATATTTGATGATTAGTTGGCAAAAAGGAGAGTGGAAAGTACCACATTACCAAGGGAACATTCCTTTGTTTAGTGATTGTTGCCAGCAAATACTTAGCATCTGATTTAAGTCCTGAGAGGATTTTGACAATTTAAGTAATATTTTAACAGAACCAAGGTAAGATGGTGCAATTTGTAGTTGGCAGAAAGGTGCAGTGACAGTGCTTGACCTCTGCCACAATCCAGTTTACTTGGCTAATGACTCACAGATCTACAGTACAGAAGGTCTCAAAGCTGCTGTCACTGAGGCAAGGATCTTCATGTGCTGCCAGAAAATAATGCAAGGAGCCAACATCTCTCAACTTTCTGGAGATGTCACTGTCAGAATGAAAACCCATTTATTCTGAATCTTTCAGTTTTTGTTTTATAATTTTAAACCAGCGACAGCTGGCCTTCTGTAAGGGCTGAGCACATTTATGCAGGGCAACTAGAATAAATCTTTAAAACATCATTTTGGAGCATCTCACAGACATTTGAGCTGCCAAAGGTATCTGGTTCACCTCATTGTGTTGGGGTCACACTTTACAGTCAGCCTCACCTTGCCAGTTTTTATTCTTTGATGCTTTTAATAATGACTTAAATTTCTAATGACAGTTGTTTTAAAATCAGCCCAGTCTTGGAATTGTTGTATTGTGTTGAGGTTCACAGGCCCCATCAGACCATTCCTGTGTGAGCCTTCACTGTAAGAATTGGTACTTTTCTAACTGCTAAAAATGTTACATCTGAGCCTTAACTGTTCTCATCTGCTATTTATTTTTATCTACAGATAGCAGCTAGGAGTAGGCATTCTTTCCTGGGTAGAGAAACCAATTATTGTATTCCTGCCACTGTTATAGCCCATTCAGAACCATGGGATGCTTTTGAAGTGTTCAACCCACATAGTATTGTGTCTTACCAAGTCAGTAAGTTTTTCACCATAATCCTTGCTTCATCTTTCTGGTTCATTTTACAGTCATGGAGATTTTCTTGTAATCTAGTGTTCTGAAGCAGACAGAAAATGGGGGCTTTTGATACAAAGTTACTATCTATGAGGCAGGCAGAAGTCACACCAGTGCTAAATGGTTATCTTCCCTCTCCACTTTAAACTAAATGGTATATCTGGTAGGTCGCAGTATGAGCCAGATGCCAGTGTTAGCCAGAGTACATACATGGCTGGTGGGGCCCGTATTTCACTGCATTGTGATTCAGAAGCTGTCAATGCTGTATATGTCCCTAACACATTTGATGTGAAACTTAGAGAGTAAACTCAGTGCTGTTAGCCTGCTGGTGCCTCTCCAACCAAGGGTTTATACCTTCTGAATCCAATATCAACAGTGTATTTAATGTAGCCTCGGGCAGACACCAACAAGTCTACCATTCAGTTATTTAAGTTCAAACTTCTTTCCATACCACAATGTCTTCACAGCGGAATGCTATAATAAACCCCCAAACTTAAATCACTACTGACGATTTCTTTAAAAATCTGCTCAGTATTGGACCCTGCTTAAAATTATAATGGTCAGGATTTTTAAATGCCTGATTATCTAAGTTCTATTTTTTTGCAAAGTTACACTGTTTCTCTTCCCCTGCCTGGCTTTCTGTGGACTGCTGATATCATAAGGTCCCTGCATTATCTGAACAGCATACAGTGCATTGCTGAGGAGTACTCCAGATCGGGGCACTTCTGTATAATTTGGAGACACTGGGCTTTGATTCTTAACATTAGGTTTTAATGTGGTATTCCTTAGCGGTGAGAATTTTATGCTGTTTATTTTTGAAATGTTACCACCTCCTGGTGATTGCTAAAGTCACTGAAATATTAGCATGTGGTCTTGGTACTGAATAGTGCTGACTAGGAAGGTCTAAGACTCAAAACCTAGTATCTGCTGAGTTAGCAAATCTCAAGAAGCAACTGTAGAGGCAGAGATTCGCCTTCACACTCCTGAGAGCACAATCAGCCCATACTGGCCAGAGACAGATTGTCAACTTTTACTGTTTCGGTGTCACACCTGCAGAAGAGCTACTTGGGCTGACAAGGTCTGTGCAGTTGTACTCTGACATGAATCACCACTTACGAATAGGGAGAAGGTTAGGGCGAGAAGCTGTATGCAGCCGCCTGGGTTTTCTTTGTATTTTATGTAAAAGCCTTTGATTTTATTTTTACTGACAGTGACCTTTTTGATGACAATGCTCGCTGAATACACTCTCAACAGTTAGCAGTACAATGAACATTCCATCAGTTATTTCTCTCATTGTAATGTGCTGTGGCACTTAAGACCCAGAGATGTATTGCTTTGGCTGGAGTGATGTCCAGCGACTCAACCTACACAGTGAATTCTCGTGAGTGAGTGACTCAGCTGTGCTGTGCTGTGGAATATGTTTTAAAAATGTTTTCCCACTTAAGAAGTGACGGATGAGATGATCAGGTCCTAACCCTTTGCACAGAGCCAGGTGAGGTATTTGGAAGCAGATCCTTAAGGCTGCCTGGGGTGACTGCATAATAGATCCTTGCCTTGTGCGGATTGTGCTTGCCATGTGTGGTTAGATACCCAATTCTATAGCTTTGCCTCCCTGACCAGCAGTGCATTATGATGGCACAAAGCTGTATCTGGCCTGTCTAAACATTCTGATATAGAACTAATGGAATTTATCCATTAGGCAAGGCACGTTCAAATATTAGTCATTATTAGAATTTGAACTTAGGAATCTGCTAGGTTTGGAGTTTCTGGCGGCTTCTATTCTTATCAAGGCACTGTTAATCAGCAAGGCACGAATGAGACATGGCCTGGTTCTGTGTTCCTGTGCTTTTGTTAAATGTATAGAGCTGAATATTGAAGATGGCAGGGCCTTGCTGTATCTTGTTAGTAGCAGTCTCATTTTTCATTGTTCCTCACTTCAGTTCTGTTGCCAACCATTTATGTACAGGAAGAAGATGTCATCATTGAAGAATACGAGGGACAAAGCTCTGAGCCCGATGGCAGCGGAGGGGAAGATGATATAAAGGAATTAAGGGCAAAAAAGCAAGCGCTAACTAAAAGATTTGTGGAGCAGCAACGCAGACAGGAAAAAATCCAGGTACCCAAGGCTCTTCACTGGGGAAAAAAAAACTTTCCACTTTTTTTCCTTTCATTTCTGTCAGCCTTGAATAGGAGCCAGAAGCATCTGTCTAGCCATATGCTTCAAACTCTTGTGCTATGCAGGGCTGGTTATAAAATAGGCAAACCAAAGACCCTTTTGGGAAAATGCACATGTGTGCCCTCGAGGCTTTGGCTTTGGTCCTGAACAGACTCAAGTTATTTTTCCAAACTCAGCTTAACCTTTTAAAAGTAAGATAAATGTTTTAAAATGTTAATATCAACAGCCTCAGATGCTTTCTCCTGGATTTATCCATTCAGAAAAAAAACATGTTTTCAGATGGCTTCTCCCAAAGATTCATTTATTCAAGTTAGTTATGTGTTTTCGCATTTCTAACTCACTGTTCAGATCCTGGCGTCTCGTATTAAAATCATTAAAATCAACCACTGACTTTGTTAACCTGTGCACCAGTTAGAACTGATTTCTTATTTTTGAAAGGATTAGTTCCAGCTTTAGTTCCATTAACTCTTTAACCACTGAAACTTCACTCACATCGCATTACAACCAAGCGCTCTGCAATGTTTCCTATACTTAATTCATTATGCACAGATCTTAACATCAAGACCATGGCCCCTAGAGGTCTCAGGTAAGAGTCTGGAGCAGCAGGGAGAAGGATAGCATTTCACGGAAAACAACAGCCAAAGGATGTACGTTTGTGTAGTGCCTTTCAAAGTCCAAGGATGTCCCAGAGGTGCTTTGCAGTCAATGATGTATTTTTGACCTTTAATCTTTGCAAATGCAGGAGTCAGCAGCAATTTTCACAGAATAAGCTCCCACACATTGTATTTTGTCCTTTCCCAGGGATACCTTGACAGCAGAGAAGTGCTCAATTACAGTTTAATCAGAGTGTTTTTCTTTCAAGTCCTGTTTCTGCAAATCTCAAAAGGACATTACAAGTTTATCTAGAAGTGACTTTAATATAGGGCATGGTTATTAAATAAAGCCATAAGTGTCACTAGAAGAGTAGATATTTCACACTTCAGATTTGAACATAGAACATAGAACATTACAGCGCAGTACAGGCCCTTCAGCCCTCGATGTTGCGCCGACCTGTGAAACCAATCTGAAGCCCATCTAACCTAAACTATTCCATTATCATCCATATGTTTATCCAATGACCATTTAAATGCCCTTAAAGTGGGCGAGTCTACTATTTTTGTAGGCAGGGCATTCCACGCCCTTACTACTCTCTGAGTAAAGAACCTACCTCTGACATCTGTCCTATATCTATCACCCTCAATTTAAAGCTATGTCCCCTCGTGCTAGCCATCACCATCCGAGGAAAAAGGCTCCCACTGTCCACCCTATCTAATCCTCTGATCATCTTGTATGTCTCTATTAAGTCACCTCTTAACCTTCTTCTCTCTAACGAAAACAGCCTCAAGTCCCTCAGCCTTTCCTCATAAGACCTTCCCTCCATACCAGGCAACATCCTGGTAAATCTCCTCTGCACCCTTTCCAATGCTTCCACATCCTTCCTATAATGCGGTGACCAGAACTCCAAGTGCGGCCGCACCAGAGTTTTGTACAGCTGCAACATGACCTCATGGCTCCGAAACTCAATCCTTCTACCAATAAAGCCTAACACACCGTACGCCTTCTTAACAACGCTATCAACCTGGGTGGCAACTTTCAGTGATCTATGCACATGGACACCGAGACCTCTTTGCTCATCCACACTACCAAGAATCTTACCATTAGCCCAGTACTCTGTATTCCTGTTACTCCTTCCAAAGTGAATCACCTCACACTTTTCAGCATTAAACTCCATTTGCCACCTCTCAGCCCAGCTCTGCAGCTTATCTATGTCCCTCTGTAATCTGCAACATCCTTCCGCACTATCCACAACTCCACTGACTTTGGCGTCATCCGCAAATTTACTAACCCATCCTTCTACGCCCTCATCCAGGTCATTTATAAAAATGACAAACAGCAGTGGCCCCAAAACAGATCCTTGAGGTACACCACTAGTAACTGAACTCCAGGATGAACATTTCCCATCAACCACCACCCTCTGTCTTCTTACAGCTAGCCAATTTCTGATCCAAACTGCTAAATCACCCTCAATCCCATGCCTCTGTATTTTCTGCAATAGCCTACCATGGGGAACCTTATCAAACGCTTTACTGAAATCCATATACACCACATCAACTGCTTTACCCTCATCCACCTGTTTGGTCACCTTCTCAAAGAACTCAATAAGGTTTGAGGCATGACCTACCCTTCACAAAACCGTGTTGACTATCCCTAATCAAATTATTCCTTTCTAGATGATTATAAATCCT